GGGGGTGGGGGCGGCCTGGGCACTGGCTCCCCGGCATTGTCGGGCGGCCAGGCCCGCCGGAGGAAGCAACCACCCAGGCCTGCAGACTTCAAGCTGCAGGTCATCATCATCGGCTCCCGCGGCGTGGGCAAGACCAGCCTGATGGAGCGCTTCACCGACGACACGTTCTGCGAGGCCTGCAAGTCCACCGTGGGTAAGGGCGTCAGGTCACCAGACCCTTCCCGCCGCGCGGGCCCCTTATCCCCTTCCAGGACGCCTGCCCTTCCCCCGCCGCACGCCTGGGTCCTGAGCCCCGGCACCCCTCTGCCAGTGTTCTCTGCTGTGTCCGTGGGCGGACTTGCTTTGGGTAGATGGGCCTCTTGGTGAAATCGAAAGGGGAACGGGGGGCACACATCTCGGATCCCGTTCTTAAAGCCCGGCAGAGGTTTTCCTGTAGTCTTCACGCAGACTTGTCCTTGGGCCTTTTCGCCCCAAATCCTCCCCCATCACCCACACTCGCGGCCCTCCCCTTCTCCGGTAGGAGCGCCGCATTGTGCACCTCCGTCTCGGGCGGACGGTCCTAAGGTCAGAGTAAGGCATTGTCCCGTGCAATCTCTTCTCACGGAAACTCCAGACGCTTGACGTTATTCACCCGAGGAAGCCGACCGTGTGGTGACATTAGAGGGAGTCTGTCTGGCTGGCCACATTTTTATCAGTTAGCTTTGCCTAAGAAAAAACATTTCCACAAAACAGGGCTTATTTCCTAATTTTGAACCATGGTTATGATGCAGTGAAATCATAAAGTTTACGGTCTCTTGTGGAGCTTATTAGCACTAAAACTACATTAAAAAATTCTTGTTTTAGCTATTAATGCCGGCAGAGGGACCCATGACTTCAAATAACCCAGGACTAGCAAAAGTGGATATTCCATAAAGTAGGACTTGAGAAAACGCAATAGCTAGCCCTCCAGGTCAGGATAGCAGAGCCTCGAGATCCAAAGTTCAAAAAAAAAAAAGATTCAAAATTGAAACATCAAAGGAAATTGTTTTTACTGAAGTCAGATGAGTAGACCTTGACTTTGAGGTTTGTCAAAGTGTGGCTAACAGGTGTTCGTTATAAGGGAACACACAGATAGTAATAAGCATTTAGGGAATTCCATTGGGTAATCGCCAAGAAACATTGAATAGTTTCATTTTTAGTCATTTCGATTTAGTTATTAGATTTAAAACACAGAATTAAAAGTATCATTCTCAGTACTTTGGCAAGGTTTAAAGAGCCCCAACTAGTTTAATTGGAAGTTCTTATCTCATTGTTGTTTTTAGAAGGCATCCAGACATTTCACTTGCTTGTTATCGAGAACTCTTGCTTGGATCTAGAATGGTATTTTGTATTGTAAGCAAGGTAGTTCCAAGGGCATGTATGTGTGAAGTTTAAAGAATACAATACAATTTTGAGATGAATTAGTTTTATAGCAACACGGTGGTGGTGGTGATGATATGCCTGGAGTCAGTTCTGACTCACAGTGACCCTGCATAGGGTTTCCCAGGCTGTAAATCCTTATGAGAGCAGAAAGCCTCATCTTCCTTCCTCAGAGACTGATAGTTTTGAACTGCTGGCCTTGCAGTTAGCAGCTTGACTCAAAACCACTGTGCTACCAGAGCTCATTGTAGTAACACAGTACTGCATTTAAAATTTCTATATTGAAAATGTCTTGTTCGAAAATTGAACCCCCAGTTTTTGTATTGTTTTTTTGTTTGTATGTCTGTTTTTTTGTATTGTTTTATGAGAATTTATTTCTCTTAGTGCGTTGTTGTTAGGTGCTTTTGGTCAATTCTGACTCATAGTGACTGTATGTACTTTATTATGAGATCATTATGAAAATATCAAGGGACTCTGTACAGTTTATCTTTAAAATGTTAACTTTTGGAACTTCATACTAAAATTCAGTTGCATAATACCTGTATTTCAAATATATAGTGTTGAACCATAATGGCATACAGAGAGTTACTATACCATCAAACAGGTAATTTTAGTACCTGATTTAAGTAAAACAATTCAGAATTCTCAATTTTTATGGATCTAAATTTAAATAGGACTCCTGGTGTGGTGCTATAAGATCACTGGACTTCAAACCCACCAGCTCCTCCTCAGAAACTTTATACAGGGTCGCTGTGAGTCGGAACTAACTCAATGGCACTTCACAGCAAACTTTTGAATATATTTAAATTCAGAATAATGTGATGAAGACAAGGTAGTACAGCAATTAAGTGGATGAGTGTGAGCGCTTGGGTGGAAGAGGGTGAGATTTTGAGATGGACAATGGAGAAGAGAGATGACGAAAGGTTTCCAGAGTGTGACCTTCCTGGAGCAGCAGAGACCACAGCCTGAGAAAAGTTCATTAGGAGACATTCGGAATGGATTTGGAAGGACCGTGACTGCCTAGATCTGTCCTATGGGCAATTGGAACCATAAAGGCTCTGGATAAGGCATTGACATGAAGAAAGTAAAATTAGGTCAGCAGGATTGCATAGGATATTTGAGAATAAAGAAGGAACCACGCAGCTAGAAGAGACCCCCACACACACAGGTCCCTACTACCAATACCTCTGTACAGTTAGAGTTTTGACTTGCTCACTTTCGGCCTCCATATATAGCCTATGGGAGCACAGTGACCCTGTGCGATAAGCACAGGGTCTGCAATTTGAACCTGCCAGCCGCTCCTTGGGAGAAAGATGATTTTAAGTGCCATCAGAGTCCCAACTCATAGTGACTGCATAGGGTTTCCAAGGAGCAGCTAGTGGGTTTGAACCACTGACTTTGTGGTTACCAGTCCAGTACTTATCATACAAGGCCACACCAGGACTCTTGACACCCACTAAGGACTGACTTATGGCAGACATGCAGAGCTCTGGAAACTAGATGTCAGGATGCTCGCGGCAGTGGTAGAAATGTATATGGACTGTTTGGGGAGCATAGTGAATGTGCTTCCAATCTGGGCATAGGCATGAGAGCTGGTTAGAAGAGGACTCCTCCTCATTGGAATGCTGTGAAGGTAAATTCCTTCCTTGAGTTCCTTTAGAAAAATGCTATTTAAACACCCTATTGGGTGTGGTGTAGAATTGTGGTAACCTCACCTAAATGCCTACAGTTTGAGCAGCCAGCTCATAGGGTCCTTCTAAGGCCAGTTTTTCCAGTTTTGCCTCCATATAGTATAATTAGCTCACAGTCTCTTCCTTGGTGGTATTTCCCCTATCCTGTCTCAGCTTGCAGGGGTGTGCTGCTCCTGACCTCAAGGGTCTGGACGCCTCTCCGAGCATGTCCAGACCAATTTAAGTCTCTCGTGTTATCAGAAGCCACAAGAGGGTATCACGGGTAAGTGCCTGTTTAAAGTGAATTGGTCTCACTTGGGCCAGTCTCTAAAAGATCCAAATAGAAATCCTTAGGAGTTTGAGAAGATGAGGCTGTTGTTAAGTGCTGTCGAGTCAGTACCAACTCTTAGCAACCCTGTATAGGGTTTCCGAGGGTATGAACCATCGACCTTGTGGTTCAAGCCTATCTTGTTGTCCATTGCATTATCCTGTAGTGCCACACTAGGACTCTGATGAGCCTTTATGTTATGTAAAGTTATAAGTGAGTAAAATTGTTGAGGTTTTGTATTGTTACTCTAATCAGAAACTTTTTTTCCCCAAGATTCACAAGGGTATGAAAAGCTAAAAAGGCTGTTTTAATTGACCTATTTAAGAGAAATTGTCTAGTTGAAATATTTTCAAATCTGATTTTGTATTAATGGACTCGAGTTACTTAGTGTGACATAACTAGCTTCTTTGACAAGTTCTTTAAAAAGTGCAAGGGCAGGGAAATAGCATAGAGATTTCTAACTAGCTGATGTCTGTATCATAAGTGCTTAACCCACTTTTCTGGGTTTGCTATACACACACTTTGTGGTGTTCCTTTCTTAGTGGACACTCAGAAACCGTATCTGTCTGGCAGCTCTGCATATTTGGTCTCACTTTCTCCTGTATGACTCCCTCTAGAATCAGCATAAACATGGCCTTTTTAAAACATTCACCGGTGGCTTCAGAAAGTTGATGGAAAATGGAATTAAGAGATAATAGAATGTTTCCATGAGCTTTTGAAACCCCCAAGTATATTTCAGGAAAACAGCAAATATTGATGAGGATGTAGAGACTGGGAGCTGCTGGTGGGAATGCAAAATTGTACCGCCACTGTGGAAAACCATTTGATAGTTCCTCAAAATGTTAAACATAGAACTACCATGTTGTTGTTAAGTGCTGTTGACTCAGTTCCAACTCACAGCAACCCTGTGTAGGGTTTCTGAGGAGTAGCTGGAGGGTTTGAATCTCTGACCTTGTTGTTTGTAGTCCAGTGCTGATCCTACAGCACCACACCACTCCTAGGGGTTGAAGGCAACAATGCAGACAGGTGTATGTACACCAGTGTTCATTGCAGCGCTGTTCATAGTAACCAAAAGGTGAGAACAACAGAACTCTCCATTAACAGATGAGGGAAACTAAATGTGGTGTGTGCATACTACAATAGAATACTTCTTAGCTGTAAAGAGAAATAAAATTCTGATACATGTTACAATCCAAGTGAAACTTGAAAACATTATGCTGTGTGAAATAAGTTCATCACAAAAGGACAAATACTGTGTGAACTCACTTACTTGAAATAATCTAGAATAGGTTTATGTATACCCAACAAGATGTGGGTGGGAGGAAGAAAGGGGGAATCATTGTTTAGGAAGCAGTGAGTTTCTGTGTAAAACAACAGGACCCATGCCCTGAAGTCAATTCTACCTCCTAGCGACCCTGTAGGGTAGAGCAGAATTGGCTCCTTGCGGTTCTGAAGCTATAAATTTGTTAGAGGAAGTCTGCCTCATCTTTTTCCCATGAAGTGACTGGTGGGTTTGAACCCCTGGCCTTTTGGTTAGCAACTTGTGCTTAGCCCAGTGTGCCACCAGCATATCTTTTATATTTATGTTATTGTTAAGTGCTGTTGAGTTGGTTCTGAATCATAGCAACCCTGAATAGGGTTTCTGAGTTGGTGGATTTGAAATGCCGACCTTGTGGTTTATGTTGTTACTGCTGTTGAGTTGGTTCCGACTCATAGCAACTCTGTATAGGGGTTCCAAAGAGCAGCTGGTGGGTTTCAACTGCTGGCCTTGTGGTTTGCAATTCAGTGCTGATCCTA